CCATATGAAAAATGGAAAGGAAGAAAACCCAACTTGAAATATTTTAAAGTGTGGGGGTGTCTAGCAAAGGTACAAGTTCCTTTACCTAAAAGGGTTAAAATCGGACCAAAATTAGTAGATTGCATTTTCATTGGATATGCTACAAACAGTAAAGCATGTCGGTTTTTGGTTCATAAATCCGATAGTCCCGAGATTCATGTTAATACGGTAATGGAATCAGATAATGCGGAATTCTTTGAAAGCATCTATCCGTATAAAACTGAATGCGAGTCGTTCAGTGAAAGACCTAAACGACCTCGGGAAGAACCAAAGGAAAATACTCTAAGTATAGAAGATCCAAGGCGTAACAAACGTCAAAGAACATCTACTTCCTTTGGACCAGATTTTGTGACATTCTTGCTTGAAAATGAGCCTCAAACTTTTAAAGCAGCTATGTCGTCTTCTGATTCAGCATTTTGGAAAGAGGCAGTCAATAGTGAGATTAAATCAATTTTGGATAACCATACATGGGAATTGGTTGATCTTCCTCCAGGAAATAAGCCTTTAGGTTCGAAATGGATCTTTAAACGAAAAATTAAAGTTGATGGCACTATTGACAAATATGAGGCAAGACTTGTTGTCACAGGTTATAGACAAAATGAAGGCCTTGATTACTTTGACACTTACTCACCAGTAACAAGGATAATATCTATTAGGGTGTTAGTGGCACTAGCGGCCGTGTATGGTCTTGAAAGCCATCAAATAGATGTTAAAACAGCTTTCTTAAATGGAGAATTGGAGGAAGAGATTTACATGGAACAACCTGAGGGTGTTGTGGTTCCTGGTAAAGAAAAGAAAGTGTGCAAACTTGTTAAGTCGCTTTATGGACTTAAACAAGCACCCAAACAATGGCATTCAAAAGCTGACCAAACAATGTTGGCAAATGGATTTAAAATCAACGAGTGTGACAAATGTGTTTACATTAAAAATACTCCAGGTCATGAAGTCATTGTTTGTTTATAAGTTGATGACATGTTGACAATAAGCAAAAGTATGGCAGATATAAATGCTACAAAGCGCATGTTGGCTAGCAAATTCGACATGAAAGACTTAGGAGTTGCTAATGTGATCTTAGGAATCAGAATTCACAAGACTCCACAAGGTCTAGCATTATCACAGTCTCACTACATTGAAAAGGTACTTGACAAGTTCAAGTATTTGGATTTCAAAATTGCCAAGACTCCAATTGACGTGAGTTATGGACTTCAAAAGAATGAAGGTGAAAATGACTCACAACTGGACTATGCAAGAGTATTCGAAAGTTTGATATATATCATGAATTGTACTCGACCAAGTGTAAATGAGTCTGCAAGCATAGCAAATGAGTCAATAGAATTAGGAGGTAAGCTGCGATACCATATCATAGCTCCTTTCGATAGGGTCTCCCCGAATTTCTTCAATAGGACAGACTCGATCTCATCACCCTCTAAGTCGTTCCTTTTGATGGCACATGTGTAGGAGGTAACATGCTCGTTTGGGTCGATCGTCCCATTGTACTTAGGGATCTCGTGCATGCAGTTTTTTTTAGGGATCGACTTTGGAGCCGCACTCGAAGGGAAAGGTTTTTGCACGAACTTCTTGGAATCCAGGCCTTTCAATATAGGCGGCGCTCCCAGGATTTGGTCGACCCTGAAATTGTAGGTTTCTACCTTCTTTTCATTTGCTTCGATTTTCTTCTCCCCTAATTCTATTCGTTTTGTCAGCTCCTCGAGCATTTTTATGATCTCGGGGTTAGTCCCCGACTCGTTTCCATTCGACCTCTCTGCGACCGGTTCGTTCCTGTGGACGATTTCTTGGGGCGGATCGGGTTCAATTCTGCTTGGTGCGCGGCTTTGGTTCTGTAACAGAGCTATCACCGCCTGTTGAGCCTGTAACATTTCGAAGATCATCCGTAAATTGTTCCCATCTTCTCCATTATTTTGAGTATTTTGCGCTGCCGATTGGGCTCCACCACGGATGCTATTCTCAGGGTCAGTAGGCAGATTTGTGTCGATAGCCACATGCTAGTTAGCGTCCAACGGGCCCGCGATTGGAATTCCGATGGGATCAACGGGCGGTACCTCCTTACCGGGCGCTATGTTGTTATTTTCACTGTGGTGACCGGACTCATTGTCAACAGGAAGGGGTGCTAATTGTGAGTTTAACATTTTGAGCTTTAACCTGAAATTAGAGGTACTTCAAAGAACAAGTGTAAAGTAGTGTGTGTTATGGGAATTTGTATCAAATAACCACTATTATCCTTAGCCCCACGACGGGCACCAAACTGTTTACCCTCAAAATCGGATAACAATTGAATTTGTAAGTGATTTTAAGGATACGTGGATTAAATTGATACAAAGCGATATATTAAATTGCAATTAAAGTGAACAATGATAAAGTAAATTCAAACCGCTCAACTCGAATAGTTATAAGCTTGGAAAAGTCAATCACACTTGAACTGGATGCAATTCGATCGATATTAGGATACTGAAGAACAAGAGCTTAAGGAAAATAATAGTATAATTCTTTGGAATGCGTGTTACCATGTCTTTTACAAGTAATCAGACCCCCTTCATAAAGCAGGGGAATCCTACTTAAGTACAATTCTATAGAAGGTAAAAATCTCCTAATTTGCTGATTTGCCGGTACCTCATTGATACGTGCCGAGATTTGCGCCATAATATCCGACCGGTCACGGATATTTCGGCCTTCTGTTATTTCGGTCTTTTGTTGGTTACACTAACAATGTTTCCTCGTGCTCGTTCGGGGTCAGGGTCGATTTCGGGATCACGTACTCAATGTTCCCGAGGACGAACATTCTGATCTCGGGTTTTGGCCCAATGGGACTGGGGGTCGATCTTTAGTCCCTCATGTTTCGAGCCCGATCTACCATGTTGTAGACGAGTCCGATTTCTACCGTATACACAATTAAATACCTATTTAATAAATTTTAAAATATAAATATAAAATTCAAGTAAAAGTAATTGGGTTCAGCCTAATAAGCGAGCTCCGTCTATGCCTCTGACCATCAAATGAAATATGAATAATTCGTCTTCCTCTGTTTGAAAGAAGGGGTGCTTCCGGCTCGCTCCCGTTTCTCGACCTCAAGGAATAGCGGACCCCGGGTAACATGGTAGTAATAATTTATTCATTTATGAATTATTGTTTATGCAAACGAAAATGGCAAATGAAGAAGCCAACAAAAAACATGTTCTTTTTTTAGTTCCTCATTGTTTTAGTCCATTTGTGAACGGTTCCATTTTTCATGTAAGTTGTTGACTTTGTTGCCCTCCTATCGTATGAAAGGGCTTTGGATTAGAAAAAGTAATGTGATTGACCTTCTTTTTCAAAAATTAAAATTGTATTTTTTTTAAAGAAGAAAAGGAATAGTTTACTCCAAAGATTGCAATTTCACGCGTATAGCAACATATTTGTCTCCAGCGGGAAAAATCGATAATTATTTATTAATTCAATAAAGAATAAAGTAATATTTAATAGTTCTTTGGACATAAAAAATGTATGGAGTTAAGTTGAGAAAAAGTATTTGAAATTAAAGATTATATTTGAATATGCATTCCACTTGAAAAGATATTACAGTTTTGTGTGGGAAAACAATATATATGTATGTATGTATTAATTGGTTACTTTATTTGGATTAATAAATATATATATCTTATAATCTATATATTATTAAAAGGAGAGGAAAAAGCCCTCTCCTTTTAGTAATGAAGTAATATGCTAATAAATATTTCTATTAAAAATATAATAATATTAAATATTAGATGATATAATAAAGAAAAATACATAACAAAAAAGTTATTCAATGTGCTCCCTGTATAAGTCCCGTTAGTTTAACAGAGATTTTGTTCATTAAAATTTAGATAATATTATTAAGAACAATAGAATAAAATTTAAAATAGAAAAAATATTTCAACAGTAATAAATTATAAATCTTCTCATATATGACAAAAGGAAAGCGAATATTAAATATTGGTTAATATAATAAAAAATATATAGAACAAAAAAGTTATTCACTAACTATATAAGTACCTTTGATTTAATAGAGATTTCATTATTGGGTATATCGTATTGACAAGTAAGATGACAATTGAATTTTATTAAAGCAATACAATCTAATAGGATCAAACAAGCCCTATCATAATTTAATTTAATTAATATTTTTTAATACTGACCGTGCATCGCGCGGGTACGACTACTAGTTTTACTTAAAACGTGGTAAAACCCACTTTTTCAAACCATGCATACTACTCCATATATTGTTATTAATAGAGTTTAAATTATATACATTAATAAAGTAAAAGATTCTTATGCAATTAATATAATTTAATATAACATATTATTACTTTATTATTAAATTATCATATTCTGCTTAAATGGAGAGTTACATCTTTTTATAGGTCAATTTAAGTTAATGGTATAAAAATTCTTTATACGTAACATAATTTTTGTACGAGTTTAAACTCTGTGTGCTCAGACAGTATAGAAATTTTCTACACTATCTTCTTAAGTTAACCTAAAATAGCAGTCAGCCAGAAACTTATCATGACAAACCTAATAAGATAACCTCCAAAACGAAGTACGTAATAACCCGCTATAGTGGGCCAAACTATAATAGTAGTATAAAAATTTCTTTACACGGTTATATACAAAAATTAGAGTGTGTTTGGTTGGAAGAAAAAATTGCTTTTTTGGGAATAATGATTTTTTATCATTTATTTTTTCATATTTGGTTGGTAAGTGAAAATATTTTTTTGAGTTTTTTTAGTATTTGATTAGTGAGTAAAAAAAAAAACTTTTTTGGAAAATATATAATTTAGTCAAACGGAGGAGAAATGGGTTTGGGGGGGGGGGGGGGGGGGAGGAAGTGGGGTTGGAGGTGGCAGTAGGGTGGGAGGAGGGGGCGGGGGTGAGATCATTAATAGCACTCAAAATTACACCAACTGCCACTGAAAGTCTTTCTCCATAAGTACTCCTCATTCCCTCCATACTTTCCTCATCTCATTCTCTCTCTCTAACCATTCTTTTTACACATTTCAACTTCACACAAATGGAGATGTTGAATTTCTCCTGCATTTTTTCTCTAATTATTTCACTATTTTTACTAACAGTTGAAGCTAGAATTCCAGGTGTTTATAGTGGTGGATCATGGCAAAATGCTCATGCTACTTTCTATGGTGGTAGTGATGCCTCTGGTACTATGGGTATGTCTCCATTTTCCACTTTAAATTAGTCAAATTTCAATTTTCAAGCTTATATACAATGACTGTGAAAATTATTTTTATACATCTGTGTATTTTAATTTGTTGTAGCAAATAATATAAGTTTTAACTATAGATATACATTTCGAGTCAAAAGCAGATGTTTACATAATGTGGTTTAATTGCTGCATTATGATGACAATTATACTGCATTTAATGTTATTTCGTTTTTTTAAGGGAATACTTTGTACTCTTACACTTAGGGTTTTGCTCTGTTTTTTACACTAGTTGTTTTTCTTCTGTTTTAGTATAAAAGCATGTTCTGCTCCAAAAGTTACAATTTGAGTATTTTAACTTGTTGTAGCATTTAACCTATCTATTTTTAAGGCCTAACAATGCAAATAAATTAACACTAGCTATTACGGCAGGCTTAAAGGTCGTGGGTGTATTTTTTTATTCAACCAAAATTTGCTTTGTATATGGAGGTGCACACTACTAATATATCACTATTTTCTAAAAATATATACATGTATACATGAAATTTTGTTGCCGAATTTTATGGGTGATGGTGACCTTTCTGTATAGTATAGGTCCGCCTCTGACTGTAGTTAACTGCAATGTTAACACGTAAGCAATTACATGTTACTGTAGATAAACTTAACTTGATATGATAATAAGAGTTCTATACTATTAGTGCACAGAACTTAAACTCTTTTGTGGTTAACAATTTTAGTTTTTATGAATGATTAATATTGTTAAACATTTTTTATCTTGTATGAATTTGTAGGTGGGGCATGTGGATATGGTAATCTATATAGCCAAGGTTATGGAGTGAATAATGCAGCATTAAGTACAGCTCTATTCAACAATGGACTAAGTTGTGGAGCTTGTTTTGAGATCAAATGTGACAATCAACCTCAATGGTGTCATGCTGGAAGTCCTTCCATTTTAATTACTGCAACTAATTTCTGTCCTCCAAATTATGCTTTGCCTAATGACAATGGTGGTTGGTGTAACCCTCCTCGTCCTCATTTTGACCTTGCCATGCCCATGTTTCTCAAGATTGCAGAGTATCGTGCTGGAATTGTCCCTGTTGTTTACCGTCGGTAAGCATTTTTGAGCTTCGAATTAACCTAAACCTAAATAGTCGCTCATTCAACTGTTTAAACTTAAATTATACGGCGCATGTATAATATATATGTGTAATGTATGTATAATATGTGTGTAACTGTGCGTATCATCTAAGTATACTGTCTAAGAAAAGATAAGAGTAAATCAAACTGACTATTTGTATATTGATTTTTGTTGCTCTAATATTAAGTATACTAAAGTTATAGAAAGATTAAGTAGGTGTTTGGACATAAAAATTGTAATTTCTGAAAAAAAAAAAGAAATAGTATTTGAAATTTAAAATTATGTGTGGACATGCATTTCATTTGAGAAAATGTTAGCAGTTTTGTGAGTGGGGAAGCAAAAATTTCTGAAAATTTTATAAAATTGGTCAAAACCACTTTTTAATTTTTGAAAAACTCATTTTTAAAAATTTCCAAACTTACAAAAGTTAATGGACAAACATAATTTTTATTTTTTTTCTTCGAAAAAACAAAAAAAATATCTATGAACAAACGAGTCCTAAATCATATTCTTGTCCTATAACCATTTATGGTAAAGTGCTCCCCTCTAATCACTTTTTTAGCTTTTCTTGGTTTCACTTGATTTGTTTGTGTTTCTTTATGTGTCCTTTCGGTTTTCTTTTCTTTTTCTAGTGGGGTCATGTTGAGTTGGTTTCTTTATTGATTTTGTTTGATACTTATTTTGTGTCATAGGGCACTCTTGTCACTTGATACAGTGGGGTCGAAACTCGAAACTATATTAATAGAGTAATGTTTTAATGAGTTTTCAAGTAACTTAGGGGGGAAAAACATGGTTAAAATTTATCATACCTGAGAAGTGGGATAAAATAATACCAAGTTTGATGGCATAAGATGAGATATCCAGAATTAAGTGTGGGACTAAGTTTATACTGTGTTTGGTTGACGGTATAAATTTATACCAAACATAATGTAAATTATCCCATCTTATCCTGCCTATCAAACGACCCTTAAAGTTAAATTGTTTGTCTTGATATAAAGATCACGTGTGACTAATTTTTCTTACCTTGTTAGTTTGAAATGAAAAGTTTTAACTAGTGAGTTGTCATCTACTAAAAATTTCAAACATTTTGCTTATGGAAAATTTCGAAGCTGGTCCTACATGCACATTCTCCTTAAGAATGTCAAATTCCAAAACCCTAGGTGGTGGGGACAACACCCCTAGATTTAATCACCAGTGTGAAAAATCCCAGCCACATTGTTTGTTCATCCTTAATTAACGGTCCATGTCTCATGCTAACATAGCCCGGAGGCGGATTCAGGATTTGAAGTTTATGGGTTCCTATTGTAATTTCAAATTAATATCTAATAATAACTGGGTTCACAGTTATATATTTATAGACATTTCATGGACTTTTTAATAAAAATACAGGGTCTCTGCAAAAGTTACCCAGTAACTATACTCTACATCCGCCACATAGGATTTACATTCTACAACAAAATGACCATTTATGTGTTCACACTCGGTACAATTTATCTTTAAGAGTTTAATTTATATACATTGACGGCGTTAAATAATGTTAATTGATCTTTTTTTTTTTGTTTATGCAGGGTGCCATGCAGGAAGCAAGGTGGAATTAGGTTCACAATCAATGGTTTCCGTTACTTCAACTTGGTTTTGGTCACCAATGTCGCGGGTGCAGGTGACATTGTGAAGCTTATGGTTAAGGGTTCGAGGACTGGCTGGATAACCATGAGTCGTAACTGGGGTCAGAATTGGCAAACGAACTCCGTTTTGGTTGGTCAGGCACTGTCATTTAGGGTTACAGCCAGTGACAGGCGCAAATCCACCTCGTGGAACATCGCGCCTGCCCATTGGCAATTTGGTCAAACATTTGTTGGAAAGAACTTTAGAGTCTAAATATAGTGTATGAAAGTGATCGTAACACAATATCTTCGAGTTTTAGTGTTAGACCCTTTTGATTTCGGGTTTTTTATTTGCGTTTTAAGCTTTTTTTTTGTTTGTGTAGAAGAGCTGAAGCGGCTGCAGAAACATGTAGCCCGCAGCTGTTCAATGAACAATGTAATAGTATCAATCTAATGTTTTGTAGTTGATGCATGGGCATTAGGCAGTGTATTTTACTGTACTTTCAGTAATTTATAGTGATTTACTTTAATTGAAACATCTGAGTAATTTATGTTTCTGATTTACTTTAATGGCTCTTTGAAGTATAAAGGTAGAAACTTTGATATTATTCAAGTGCAGATTTGACTCTTTGTTATTTCTATGCAAGTATCCTGAGACCAAACTTTGGATTCTCTAAAGCAGGGCTTTGGATGCCATTTTTATTGTTGCTTTTATCCTTGAACTTTGTCAAGCAAGCACGCTTCGATATATTCTTGAGCATACATTTAATTATTTTTTTTTAATTATGCATCTAGTATCAGAAAATCATCGGTTCAACTAAGTGTGAATCGAGCCAGGTAGAGCCCACTAAAAGGAAATTTCTCCATTCCAAGAGCTTGAACTCGAGAATCATATCTATCTCACCACACTCTTTGGTGGTACATTTAATGTTTCAATATCATATGTTATGACATATTCTGTCATAAAGCTAAAAGATTAGCACTTCTCACCTTCACACCCATAGAAATATGCTTCTTTGGTCTCAACAAGATGGTCCGGCAGAGTTCGGGGAAGGGCCGCACCTTAAGGGGTGTGATGTAAGTAGCCTACCTGATGCAGCATCAGTGACTTATTCCACGGCTCGAATAGATTCAAGGTATGGTATAATATGTCATCCAAAATGGTAAAAAGATTCTAGATGCCATTCATAGCTTGAAATATAAAGGTAGATTACTTTGATACTAGTACTACTCAAGTGCACATTTGCTTTTGCTATTCCTTAAACAACCTTGGATTCTCTAAAGCAGAGGTTTGGATTCCTTTGCCAGCAGTATTAGAAAGAGGAGTCTACTTCAAATAGTTCAATTTCAATTGTCATGACATATAGGAGTACCACAATAGAGAAAAGGTAAAACATGAGCAGTCTGACCTGAAAAGCTTCTGTCTCAATATATTGGTTTTCAAACAGATTCTAAGTACTAGATAAGGCATAATATGCCATTGACAGTGTTGAACATAACCATGAAAAGCTTAACGCTTCTTCGCTTTACTGACCTTCAACTTCTGGACAATATATGATATTCCTTCTTTGATGGTAGCTTTCCTTTCTAGTTTGTAATTCCACAACTCTGTTGTTATGCCTCTACTACTTGAGCTTTCATTCATCTCCAACAAAGCAGTAGTAACCAATTCATAAGCTGCTTCTCCATACTCATGCTTCAACCTATTCAACCTTTCATCTTTATCATCAATGTCCTCCTACCAATACAGCAGAAATAATAAGGTTATGTTTGGCAACCACAATGTATTTCTTTTTTTGATAAGAAACTACAATGTATTACCTTAGGACCATTTTCAGTTGTTACAACTTTAAAGGGATGCCACTTGGGGTCCCTAAGATGAGCCTCCCAGATTGAACACAATTCCGCAGCTTTCAAATCTGCATCTTCAACAAACATTTTCTTGGTTATCTCCTGAAATCTTTTAATATCAAGTTCTCCCATTCTCTTGACACCGATTAAAGCCCGAGAAGAATGCTGCTTCATTCCCTAAAAGCCATGAAAACATGTTCTATTTGTCAAATTTTCACCATTTAAGTAAACTAACTTTGAAAGATGGCACCTCAGCAGAATGAATTCAAATAGTTTATGAGGTTCTTTTATGGACTGTTATGACCACATACATCTTCAAGATTTGAAGCCTATATGCTAAGTTCTTACACGTCGAAGTTATGCATTAATATATAACTTTGAATCTTCAACAGCATATAATATGGTAGAAGCTGATTTGCTGATGCAGATTATAGGAAATTTGTAATACGTTCACAACGAAAATTGAACATGAACATACAACTCTCTCAGGTCAAAGTGAATTGAAAATGCTTTCTTCTATGCAGAATTGTACTTACATCAATCAACTCCTTCCTGGCATCTTGTAACTCAACATTGGCACGGCGTTCTTTGACAACTAAAGCTTGATTCAAAGCTTCAAGATCTTCCAGTTCTTCTTCTTTCTCTTTTAGGCTCTCTTGGATCTCGTCTAGTTTTTTCTTCACATCTTGGCCATCTCCCATGTGTCTCATTACTTGCGTAGCCCCTTTGAGACGTTCTATCTCCAACTCTAACGCCTGCTTTGAGTCGAGTTTTGTTTGCAACTCCAGGATCTTATCACGGAGAGTTTCTTTCTCTTTCTGTAAAGTAAGATTCTCTTGGCTGTCATAGGCTAATTATTACATAAGTTGAGAGTGAAAATACATAACAATGGACATACAAACCTTCTGTTCTTCTGCCAACTTTAAGACACTTTCATCCATCCTCTTTTGCTCCATTTCTGCTCTCTCATTCTAAAACACATAAACGAAGAATTTTACAGTTAAAGAATTCCTAGAAAAAGAGCACGCCAAGCGAATATCTGGTACATTCCTCAATATCAGCAGAGTTTAGAACAAAGTTAGAAGTGCATAAATACTAGATTCTTGTTGCTTCATTTTGGATTAGGATATTTTCAAGGAAAACTAATTCAGATGCATGTAATGTATATATAAGGAAAATGAGAGTGATGAAAGTTGTTTGAATTGACAGTAAAATCCAAATGAAGTTTTTTAGGTCTATCCACAATCTTAGTTCTACAAATACAACAGTCTATTTCTACAATGTCATATTTTTATACCTCATAGGTAGTAGTCTAATTCCTCCATATGCTTATATCTCCATATAAATTTTTTGCTAACCAGTTAAAGTCAATCAATTAAACAGCAAGTAAGACTTTCTACCATTTGCTTCAAAGAATGAAGCTCTTGTCTTTGATTATCATTGAGGGCTTCCCTTTCCACCAATTCTTTTTCGCGCAACTCAAGTTCTTTGCGTTGCGCTTCCAAATACGATTTATTCTTCTCTCTCTCCTTGATCATCTTTGCTAGTTGATCGCGAGCATTCTTCGCCATCCCTTGTAACTCTGTAGTCAATAGTAAGTACTTGTTGTAAGTCAAAAGTGTGACAAAAAAGGCAAGGTCTGTTAGGAGAATATATGTACCTTCATTGTATTCTTGGATCATTTCATCTCTTTGCATCATCACTTTGCTTAGGCACATTGAAGTTTCATTGCATTTGCTCTCTATCTCCTTGAGTCGCCTACTTTTGGCCTCGATTGTTTCAGCCAGATTAGAGACAAGCGCATCATTTTTGCGCTTGTCTTCTGCCTGAATCTCGGAGATAGATTTCAGGTCTCCATTTTTTCGCAAATAGTCACCAATTACACCTGATGACTTGAAATCATCAGCCTTTGCAACCCAACCATATAACTTATTTTCCCTATTTGCTGAACCTAAATATTCCAACTTCCCTCTATGTTGTGATTCAAAACTCTTTTCCAACTTAATTGCATAAGCAAAACCATCCCAATTATTACTAAATTCAACCACAGCATACCCTGAATGACCCCTATGGTTCCATAATGGATGTACTCTCACCGGATTAAACCCTTTGTTCGTCAAATCATCCCTGAGCCCCGAGCCACTTTTTCCCACGTAACGCTTACCATCCCACTCAATGGGAAGATTTGCTACAATTCCCATCCAGGGAAATACATATTTCTCATCAACATCATTCCCTTGATGTGCAGGCTGCAATTCAGTTTCCATTTTACTGCAAAAACAGAGAATAAATATAAGAACAAAGAGAAATATAGCAAAAACCAGTGTAGAGATTACAGATACAGAGCCATACAAGTGAAAATCTAGAGCACAAAAAATAGAGTAAATATAAGAAAAGAGAAACAGAGAATTGTTGGAGGAAAAGCAACAGTGTTAACATACAGATGGACAAAAATAAGCAAATATAAAAATCTCAACATAAAACCTATGTTGCGCGGACTCTCCAAAATGCTGCCGCACCCGTGTCGGATCCTTCAAAAATACACTATTTTTGAAGGATCCGACACGCACCCGGAAACATTTTCGGAAAGTCCGAGCAACATAACATGAAACCATGTTTAACAGATAACAGATGCAGAGACATAAACACAATTAGCAAAATTGAGAAATACAAACTTACATTTCTCTTGAAAAACAGAGAGTAACTATAGTGATTGTTGTGAGTAAAAAACAGTGCCGAAAATTCAAATACAAACGTACATTGTGAAACTAAACACACATAAATAACAACAACAACAACAACAAAATCTGAATGTGAGAGGTACAGATTATTTTTGGCAAAATAAAAACAAAAATAACAAATACACACACATAAACAACAAGAAAAATTCTGAATTTGACCCATTTACACATTTCAAATAGAGAGCCATAAATTTTAAATTTAGAGCACAAACACAAGCTAGCTCTTTTGCTTTAAAAAACAGAGTAAATATAAGAAAAGAGGAACAGAACATTATTGGTTTTTTGTTTTATAAAAAAAAAGTGAGAGAGAAGTGATTACGTACATACACAAAGATGGAGGAAAAACAAAAATAAAATCTGAATATGACCCATATTTTACATATTACAGATGCATAGCTATAAACACAATATTAAAATGGAGAAATACAAGTTACTTTTCTCTTGAAAATACAGAGAGTAACTATAGCGATTGTTGTGACTATAAACATTGAAATACACGCGTAAACACACATAAATAACAACAACAACAACAATCCGAATATGACCCATGTACAGATTAGAGAGAAAAAACTGAGTAAATAGAAGAAAAGAGGAACAGAGGATTTTTGACAAAAATATAAACTAGTGACTACATTAACGTTACACCCATAGAAGAAGAAATACGTAAAATAAACAAAAATAAAATTCTTAATAAGACCCATGTATGTACAGATGAAAAGATGCATAGACATAAACACAAAGAAAAAATGGAGAAATACAATTTAATTTTCTCTTGGAAAACAAAACAGAGAGTAGCTAAATAAAAATGTAAATTTAGACCCTAAAAACAACTTTTCATTTTTGCCTTAAGAAACAGAGTAAATATAAGAAAAGAAGAACAGAGCATTGTTGTAAAAAATAAGTAGAAATAAGCAAAAAAAGGAGAAATACGTAAGCGTTGCATTTGAAGCAGATAACGAATATAACATACCAACGTTCAAAGAAAATTAGTGTCCAAAAAAGAGAAGAAAAACACAATGATGGAGAGAGTGATACCTTGCTGAAGAAGGTACAGTACTCAGTACAGTACAGCAGCTCTGAGCAGAGTAGTGGAACGCAAAAAAGACTGTTACATTGGTATTATGGTAGTATTTGCTCCTCTTCACTATATATGTTTGGTCAGATTTTTATACGTTGTTAGTAGGAGTCGTCTTATTGCTTGTTTTGGCCTTTTTTGGATATTGGATGGTACTATACTTAGAGTTGATGATTTGTAATTGTAGACATATGCTAATTTATTTGATTTTTCTTTTAGTTAAATGTTTTTGAATGTGGTGGTGAACTTGATAAATTGAATCTTTAAAATTGAACTCATTATAGTTTTAAAATTATGTACTCAAAGAAAATATTTATTAAAATTGTAGTTAATGTTTTACATATTTATTTATGTTCTACGTAAAAAAATACTGAATTCGGATGAATCCTTTGTCTATGAATTGTATCTGTTACTATGGTGGTGGGGTGATTGGGGTTGGGGCCTTAGATACAATATGAAAAGTGCAAAATTTTGTGCAACTAATATCGAGCAATTGTTACAACTCGATCGATTGACTTGTAAGTATGTAGGTTTAGAAATGAGACAGGTAAATTTCACCGATGATCATTTTAGTTAAGCATTGTAATATAAAAGTTATTTTTTTTGTAACACAAAATCATCTTTCTTTAAGCCTAACTGATAGGTTATATGTGTATCCCTGTTATGTTTTGATGATCTAACAAACTTATTGGTAAGAACCAGATAAGGAACCCGGTACACATCCTCAGGTACTTAAGATCAACAAATCTCCACTCAAGGACGCGGTTCAACTCTTCAGAGTCAAAGGAACAACATAGGGAACAGATAGCTACCAGTTCCCGTGGTGACTGTACAAGTCAAACCCCTAGTTGTAAAGTTGCTGCCTGCACAGGCAACAATGCAAAAATAGTGCAGCAGTCAACTTTATGGGGAATGCCCTTTACCTAACTTGTTTGTATCATTCAAGTGATATCCCAAATGAATTATTAACATCAAGCAAAAGTAAAACAAAACACTTGCACATTCAAGAATCAATCAAGCATTCTCTCAAGTCATCTATCAATCTGGCAAGTGACTCTCAAGGGCATCAAGAACAAAGAACAACATAACAACGAGCCAGTTTCCTGTATCGAGTTATTACATGTCCTTATTCGTGTTGCACCTTTGTTAAAGCACTCTACTTGTAGTTCCTACTTAGATTAGTTAGAAGCATTGTGTAGGAAGCCTTTGTAAATCATAAACCTTTGTGTTTGTGTCTTGGCTAGAGTTAGTCGAGTTGTAAGTCTTTGTAATAGAGCTATTACAAAGTGGCTTGTAATAGAGTTGTTACAAGTTAGTGAGGGATTAAGAGGTTAATTTCTAGGTTACAATAGGCTGTAATCTAAAGTTTCCTTAGTAGTGAAGTTGAAATCCTACAAGGGTAGGTCGTGGTTTTTAATCCCGTGAGCTGAGAGTTTTGCACGTAAAACTCCATTGTGTCATTTACTTATTGCAGTGTGCGTGTGTTCTGTGGGAACTAATAGAGAACCCGGTTCTCTATATAGTTTGGTGGACCCTTAGTTTTTATCAATTGGTATCAGAGCGGGTTCTTTCTATTAGGCTAACACCTAGAAATGATCCTCATGGCTGCTCCGCCAAACTTCGAAGAAGGTCAGTCTGCCTAGAGACCACCAAGATTCAACGACCAATACTATAGATGGTGGAAGACAAGGATGCACGACTTCATCATGGCTGAAGACTCAGAGCTCTGGGATATCATCTGCGATGGACCCTTCGTTCCTATAAAGACCATTGGAGACCCCGTAGTGACAGTTCCTAAAACTAGAAAGAAATATAATGAAGCTAACCGCAAGGATATTGAAAAGAACTTTCGAGCTAAGAAAATCCTCGTCTGTGGTATTGGACCAGATGAGTACAACATGATTTCAGCATGTCAATCTGCTAAGGAGATCTGGGAATCTCTCTAAACAGCTCGTGAAGGGACAACACAGGTAAAGCAGTCCAAGATTGGCATGTTAAACCACAGAGTATGAGCTTTTCAGGATGAGGGACAATGAATCCATTAAGGATATGCACACTCGTTTCACATCTATCATCAATGAGCTTCACTCTCTGGGAGAGATCATCCCCAGGAACGAACTCATTAGGAAGATACTTAGTGTATACCTGGTTCCTAGGAAAGCAAAGTAAATGCTATCACAGAGGTAAAGGATCTGCAGGAGCTAACCATTGATGAACTTGTCGGCAATTTGAAGACTTATGAAATAAAGAAGAAGAAGAAGGATAATGAGAGAAGAGAGCCCAAAAGGGAGAAGAACCTGGTCCTCAAGACGGACAACAATGACTCAGGTGGTGAGGATGCTGATATGGCCTACCTGACAAAAAGGTTTCAGAAAATGGTTCGCAGAAATAGAGGCATTCCAAAGAGGGGCAGCTCCAGCAAGCCAAAAGGTTATGACCTATGTCATAAGTGCGGTAAGCCAGGACACTTCATCAAGGATTGCCCTCTTCTCAAGAAAGATCAGTACAAACACAACACTAACAAAGCAGCTAAGAGGAACCCGGTTCCTGACAAACAATTCAAGAGAAAAGATGCCGCTGAGAATGTTGTAAAACAAGCTCTTGCTGCATAGGGAGACTCATCCAACGAATCTGAAGAAGATGATGATCAAGGTGATAGCTCCATGATGGCAGTGGAAAGTGAAGCAGCTGAATATGACTCAATCTCTTCCCTAATGGCAAAATCTGACAATGATGAAAATGACGATGATGATGATGAGGTAAACTTTCTAGATGTTCAAAGAAATCTAAAGTCTTATTCTCTGAAAAAACTTATGTCTTTGGCAAATGTTTTAATCGATGCTTATCATAGTCTTATAAATGATAAAGATGCATTAACTGTGGAACTAGGAGAAGCAGAACGGTCGAGAGATGATCTAGTAGTCGTTGTGGTAGACTTAAAGGAAACCATCGAGAGTCTGAAGAAAGAAAAAGATGCCTTAACTGAAAAAATTGCAAACATAGAACATGAAAGAGATGATCTAGTGGTTGTTGTGGTCGATCTAAAATAGACCATTGAGGCTGTCAAAAAGGAGAATGAAGTCTTAACTGAGAGGGTTGCTAACATTGAGCATGAGAGAGATGACTTATTAGTAGTGGTTGTAGACCTAATGGAAACAATTGAGGAACTAAAAAGGAAGAGTAGGCCTGGGAACACTTAAAACGGAAAGGAAGTTGCAAGTGAGGCACAACTTAGGCTTGAAAATGAGTTAAAATCATGAAATCTTGTCTGTGTGCTGAGCTTGAGAAAAATAGATAACTTCAGGAAGATCTAGGCAAAGTGAAGTGTGACCTAGAAAAAATCTCTTAAGTGAACCTGGTCCTCTGATGCAATCACTGCTATGTATACAAACAGTGGGGGAAACAGGTAGGGAATCGGGTTTCAAAGGGAAAAGACTCCCTGCAACCCTCA